CACTTTTTTAGCCCCCCCTCAGAAAGAGATAACGACCCCGCCGTCGAGGAGCGGTGGGATGTCACCGCTTTTCCACTCCTTTTCTCCCTTTCTCCTGGATGAGACTGGGAATTGGACCGTGCCCTTCTCCTTCGGGAAAAGCTGAAGAAAAGCTGGATCCTTAGGGACCCCCTTCCTGGGATGGATTGGGGGGGGGAGGGGGGCACATCGAAAGATGTCACCCTGTCCTCGTGCGACCTGCTGTGTCTGTGATGGAATTGTCCAGCCCCTCTCCCAGCTGGGTGAGTCCCAGCATGTCCCCAGCCCTCCCAGGGCTTTCCCGACTCACTCCAAATATCCCTTTTCCACGAGAGATTCCAGCCCTGGTGCTATTTTCCTTCTCGTGATGCAGGATGCCCTGGCTGACGTCACGTGTGGAGCCAGGGATGAAGCGCTAAAGCTCCTTCTCTACCCATCTGCTCTGCAAACAGCATCACCTCTTACATCCTCCATGAGATACCTAGATTTGGCAGGAAGAAAGCTCAGGTTGATGTTTCCTGCATCTCCCACTCCACCTGCACTGGTTCACAGAATCCCAGCATGGCAGGGGTTGGAAGGGACCTCTGTGGGTCACCCAGTCCAACCCCCCTGCTGAAGCAGGGTCACTCAGAGCAGGCTGCACAGGACCTTGTCCAGGTGGGTCTTCAATATCTCCAGAGAAGGAGACTCCACAGCCCCTCTGGGCAGCCTGTTCCAGTGCTCCGTCACCCTGTGCTCCGTCACCCTCAGAGTGAAGAATTTCTTCCTCTTCTTCAGCTGGAGCTTCCTCTGCTCCAGTTTGTGCCCGTTGCCCCTTGTCCTGTCGCTGGGCACCGCTGAAAAGAGTCTGGCCCTGTCCTCCTGACCCCCACCCTGCAGATATTTATAAGCATTTCTAAGGTCCCCTCTCAGCCTTCTCTTCTCCAGGCTAAAGGTCGAGGGATGTTCTCTCCCCCTTTACTCTGCCCTGGTGAGGTCCCATCTGCAGTACTGCGTCCAGTTCTGGGCTCCCCAGTTCAAGAAAGATGAGGAGCTACTGGAGACAGTCCGAAGGAGGGCTGCGAAGATGATGAGGGGACTGGCGATTCTCTCTTATGAGGAAAGGCTGAGGGAGCTGGGCTTGTTTAGCTTCTTCACTCTGAGGGTGACGGAGCACTGGGACAGGTTGCCCAGGGAGGTTGTGGATTCTCCTTCTCTGGAGATATTCAAGAACCGCCTGGATGAGGTCCTGTGCAGCCTGCTCTGAGTGACCCTGCTTTGGCAGGGGGTTGGGACGGGTGACCCACAGAGGTCCCTTCCAACCCCTACCATGCTGGGATTCTGTGATTCTGTAAAAAAGCCCAGCTCCCTCAGCCTTTCCTCATAGGAGAGATCCTCCAGTCCCCTCATCATCCTCGTAGGCCTCCGCTGGACTCTCTCCAGTAGGTGCTCATCTTTCTTGAAGTGGGGAGCCCAGAACTGGACACAGGACTCCAGATGGGACCTCACTAGGGCAGAGTAGAGGGGGAAGAAAACCTCCCTCGACCTAGTGGTCACACTCTTCTTAATTCAAGGCAGGCAGATGAACGATAACCACCCCACATCCAGCTGCATCCACAGCTGGATGGTAAAATTCTAGAATAGAAGGTCTTGGGTTGAAATGGTCCTTTAAAGGTCATCTAATGAGTTCTTTTCCAACCTTAATTATTCTATGATTCTGGATCAGGTTGCTCAAACCAACCCGACCTTGAACCCGTCCAATGACGGGGCACCCATTATATAGGCCAGGGAAACGCAAAAGGCCAAGGAAGATTTTCCAGGTCCCGGTGGGAGGGTAAAACTTCGTGCTGCATCCCGTGAGCTTCGGACCTGTTCCAGCCGAGGAGTCGCTGGGAGGCTGCAGGGACAGCACTGCTGTGGCAGCAGCCGAATAACCGCGGTGCTGGATTTAAATATGGTAATTCTGGAGCTAATTACCAAAGCAACATTAGAGCGTGAGGGAAGATCACAGGGGAGAGGTGCAAACTTGCAGTGACCGCATGGGATGGAGCAGGACTCTCTTTTTAATGAAATATCACCCAGGATTTTGATATTATCTAGCAAGATCTTGCGAGTTCAGGACGAAAGCC